GCAGACTATCAGAGGTGATCATTAACGTGATAGTTTTAGTGGACCTATCATCCTATTGAAGCGGATTGACAAGTTGATGGACTACCAGAGGTAAATGTTAACGTGATAGTTTTGTGGACCTGCCATCCTATTAAAGCGGATTGACAAGTTGATGGACGTGATAGTTTTGGTAGATTTTGTGGTTGACAAAGGTATTCTATTAAACATAACAACTCAGAAAATTTATTACTCAGAATCCAATGAACTACAAATAAATCAACCCCCAGTCTTGAATAAGTGCATGGGGGAAAAGGGTAGACATGGCGCGTCGCCTAGTGGGCCACAATCTAACGAGCTTGACTATCAGAGGTAGTTGTTAACGTGATAGTTATTGGAGACCCGGCATCCTACTGAAGAGGATTAGCTTTAGTGGTCGTAGTATCTTCTGGTTCTGACTGGGAAGAATGAGCTTGGTCCGATTGCTCAGGAGAAGATTGGGCTTGGTCTGATTGCTCGGGCTGATCTTGCCCACTTTGTTTTTCAGCTTTGATCCTGGTAATAATCTTCTAAGCATGTTCGCCTTGAGAGATCAGTTGTCTCCAAGAACGATATTCTGCAACCCCTATTCGAGCTAGGATGTTGGTCTGCAGGTTGTGTCGACAGGTCTCTACTAAGGTAGACTGTGTCATAACTGACGAACACCGGAGAGCCATGGTTCGGAACCTTTTAACGAAGGCTTTGACGGACTCCCTCTTCTTCTGCTTAGTGGCGAGAAGGATATGGATGGAGACTTCTGTATCCTCTTCAAAGAATCTTGACAGGAAGAGTCTCTCTAGATCTGTCCACTCTTGGATACATCCCGCAGGAAGTTTCCTGAACCATTCAAAGGCAACCCCCTTGAGGGTGCCTATGAACAATCGAGCCAGTACGGCGTCGTTTGATATCACATTCCCAGTCTGTGACTTGAAATGATAGATATGTTGATTCGGTGATCCCGTGCCGTCAAAAGCTTGTAGCGTCGGGACTTCAAATTTTGGAGGATAAGGGGCTGCATCTCATTCGGCAGGGTAGGGCCTGACAACTCCCTTATCTTGGAGCTCGCTTCTGTTAGCAATGACATTGAGGCGAGCTTCTAATTCCTCGATTTTGACAGACTGGAGATTCTGCTCGTTCTCCGTCTCTCTTCCTTCATCAGAGGAAGATTCCAGGTTGTGGGCTTCTTAGTCAGAAGCCGTGTTATCAACCATTTTTCTCTTCCCTTTGCTTGTGTGAGGTCGGGATGAAGACATTCTTCCCCTCCGGGAAGATTCTTGCCTGAGTGGCGAATCTGTCTTCTGAGATTTAGCCTTGTCTGCGACAATTTGAGTCAACAGGGCCATGAGTTCATTGATGGCCTCTTGCTGAGATTTGAGCATGGCCTCCTGCTCATCAAGTCTCTTTGCGAGATCTTCATTGTTTCCCGTCATATAAGCAGAGCTCTCATGTTCAACAAAAGAGCTTGATGATTGGGACTCTGCAATGGCTGAGTGTTCATCATCGGAATTGGTTCCTCTGGCTAAACTCCGATAGTTGACAGGGGGAATGGCTCCTGTTCGCGTCCGAGTATGTTGATAAACTCCATCAGACTTATTCAGGAAGTCTTTCAAGCCAGGAGACTGATCGTTCTCTGACTCATCGGAACTAAGAACTGATGATCTCCCTCTGCCGATCATGTTAGAAGTGACTCTAAGGTATTCATCCTCAGAAGTCTTCTTCTTGTGTGAACGCCGTCGTTGGTTGGGTAAAGCAACGTTCGTAAATTGGTTAAACACCAGCAGTTGTGCCGCATATGAGCAGCATTGGCGTCCCGAGAGGACCGTAGGAATCAGTCATTCACATTGAAATGAACGAATGACTTGTTGCATCGATCTTTCTCTCGATGTGAACTCTCTCGAATCTGTTATAAAGATTCGAGGAGAATTACTCACTGATTGTGAGGTTTGAACTGGAACCCCCAGTCCATGATTGGACAGGACTGGCTCTTGGTGAATATGGATCTGGTTGAGATGTTTTGAATCCATAAACTTCTTATATCCGCCCCTCAACCTAGTCGCGCTACGCAGAGTATTCGCGGTATTGGATTTGGAACTTGGGACGCGAGGGTCGCGTTTGGCACTTGATACACGAAGGTCGCGTTTGGCACTTGAAACGCGAAGATCGCGTTTGGCACTTGAAACGCGAGGGTCGTGTTTTGGTTTGGCGACATGAGGGTCGCGTTCTTTTGGATTTGGAACTTGGGACGCGAGGGTCGCGTTTGGCACTTGATACACGAAGGTCGCGTTTGGCACTTGAAACGCGAAGGTCGCGTTTGGCACGAAGATCGCGTTTGGTACTTGAAACGCGAGGGTCGCGTTTGGTACTTGAAACGCGAGGGTCGCGTTTGGTACTTGAAACGCGAAGGTCGCATTCTTCAGTATCGACGCGAGGGTCGTATTTTGACTGGGAAACGCGAAGTTGAAGTTCGCGTTCAACGAAGGCTTGAGGTCCGCGTTTCGGCTGTAAAACGCGCCATTGAGGGCTGCGTTCAGTCTGGTTCTCACGAAGCTCATGTTTGGGCTCATAAATGCGAAGTTCAGGGTCGCGTTTAGGCTCACGAACGCGAAGTTCGCGTTGGTTGGGGGATCGATTTTCTCGAAGTTGTGCTCGTCGCTGAGACCTTCTTCTTCGACGAGCAGCGTTCTTCTTGGCCTGTTTCAAAGCCTTAGCAGCAGCGTCGTTGACGTTTATGGAGCTCGTCTCCTTTATAGGCCGTCTAAGGCCTGTGGCACGTCGTGTTGACGCGGAGGTGGGATATTCAACTCGTTGTGCGAGTTCAGCAGAGGTTGAGCCCGCTCCTAGAGCGGAGGGGCTGTTCGACGAATTTTGGCCAAAGGAGAGGACTTTCATTGGCGTTCTAGCAACAGTTGGAGATTTAGTCTCCTTGGAAACTTTGTGGATCTTGCGCATAGCCTTGGGGCTAAGGGATCCAGAGGAGATAGCCTTCTCAAACTTGGCTTGATCAAACTCTACCACGAGAGTTTCGACGATTGCTCCAGTGAGATGAACATCGGATTGCGCCACCACTTCTTCATCAGAGAAGCTTGTCCCCAGCGGAGTCGCCATCTTTTGTTTGTGGGAAAAATTACAAAGAAGAGAATAAAGAAAATTGACTTGGATTCCTTTGACCTCGATTACAACTTGATTACAAAAGAGGAGAGAACGGATTTGATTCTCTCCTTTGTTTAAAACTGGGTTCTTCACGGTGGCGATGGAATGCCTCCTTCTATTGCTCGCGTCGAAATTGCTCTCCATTGACGATCCGATGTTTTGCTTCACTGGAACGATATCTTCTCCTCACGATTTGACGTTGTGGAGAACTTGCATGGCAAGTTTGA